AGAGATGAAACATGGATTTTGGGTGGAATGCAGTTTCCAAAAAAACAAGAGTGGTGATGCCATTAAAGTAGTTATTGCAAAAGGTTGTGTTAAGCTATTGCTTGACTGAGTAATGGTAAATTTGACAGAATATCCACAAATCTGGACCAGCTGACTGTTATCTTATGTTACATGGGAATTTCCAAAAGCCTATGTTTGGTGTGCTTCTGTTAGAAACGGGAGAGAGAATGCCTGATGGCAGCTAACAACAACAACAACTTTCTTTCATGCCTGACTGCTACCGATAGATGCAAAAACTACCATAAATCACATTTTGAATTCAAATAAACACTTTCAGCGTGCAATACGTCTGCGTGCATTTTGATCAAAGCTTAGAAATTTTGCATTTTTGGATTACAATCCCGGCCAACATACCCAGAGGATTCTCGGAGTTGTAGTCGAATCCATCCCCCAACTTCGTTCAAGAAAAACACATCACTGCCCTTCAATCACCTAAAAGAGCTTGGCTCAGGAAATGACCTTTGGGCCTAGGTGTGACAGTGACTGTATGCTCCCATCAGTAAGTTTTTCTAAGTTGTGGAATCCGTTCAGTCCTTTCCATCCTGCATTACAAGTGGGCTGGACTACTGCTTTCATCCTTTTCAAGCGTTTTTGCCACCTTGTCAGAAGAGCACAAAGTTGTGGATAATAGCTCTGTGCCCTCCTGATATTTTAATTTTAATAGCTTTGCTTGTGTGTGCCTTTCCCCAGAAGGCTATAATGGTATTTCCTGTCATGGGACACATAGGTAATATAAATAAAGTGAGCCTTCAACAACACAATAAAGTGAGCATTTTCTGTTGTAGGTTTTTGCTTTGCAAAGCTAAAAGAAAAGTGATTTATCTCCCTATGGAGGATTTCTGAAGAATTGCTCTTTAGGATTTGTACAGAGCGGCACACAAACTCAGAAATGGATAAAACAAGATCAGGTGACTCTTGTCATTGCTCACTGGTTTAGACTGCAAACTGCTGGGGCCTTGGAAAAAAGTATTTGGTTTATTCCCAGCAACGTCACAGAAAGGAGCCAATAGCTGATCCGCAGCCACACAATTTGCAAATAGCATTGGCTTGTAGCCAGCAAGGCAGCAACTTAGCCTCCATTTACCCTAGCCATTTAATATGGTTCAAAGCTAGTTTCAAATGCTGATGGTCAGGTAACAAACTCCCATGAAAATGTGCAACAGAAAGCCTTGATGTGCATCATACTCTGTGGTTTTGGGTCATCATCATCTGGGTTTCAAACTGATTCCAGGATTTCCGATGTAATCACCTACACAGCAAAACCATTTTTTCAATATTGCTTTGAATCTGTATTAAATGGTCAGTGTAGTGCCCTCAATTCTATGTTTTAATCAGGCTTCAAAGAAGTTGAAAGGGTGCTGAATTATATTCTTTACATAGCTTCAGCACTTTGGACAACTCCTTTAAACCAGAAGTGGATTCACCTTCTCACTTCCAGGGGAGCAACCAGAAGCTAGTGGCTGCAAATAGAGCACTGAAAACTACAAAACCTTTAGGATACAGCAGGGACAGGCAAGCACAGCAGGAAACATATCCAAGCAGACAGTTTTGGTAGCTGCTAAGCCATGGAAGAACACACATCTTATCCAATTCCTCTAACCTGCCATGCTGCAGGTGTGGTGAAGACAAAATGTAGAACATTAAAATTTAAAATTAACTTGAAAATGACTTGTGCAACTTTAGATAACATTTATTTAGCCTATATAATCTGTCCTTTTCTGGCCCTATCTTTTCTGCCCTCTTGAGGTGGCAGAGAAAATTTACACTGAAGACGATTTATTTCAAAGCAGGACTCAAAAAAAATGCCTGACTTTAAACCTCACTTAGAGACAAATTTACTTGCTTTGAAGATATCCATCTCACCTCCAGACATGGACTATTTGGGTGTGAAGCTGTAATGCCTGACCCTGGGACAACAAAACTTTGATACCCAGTACTGCCCACTTTATGTCACTTTATGAAGGTTGTCAATCTGCCATCTGCAAGGGTGGTGATTGGAGGCACTTTGTCTGAGATCCTTTCAAAGAAGGTCCCAGGTACAATCCTTGGCATCTCCACTTGAAACATTAAGATACCAGATGGCAAGAAGAAACCCAGCATGAGATCCTGGAGAACCATTACCAGTGGCAGTAGAGATAGCACTGAGCTCTTGCAGTCTTTTGCAGTATGTAGAAAAGTGTGGCCCTTCTGTTGCTTTTGTATTTCTGTTTCCATAATCCCTAGCCAAAATAGCCAGCTATGATGATGACAGTTACTGTCCTTTAACATTTGGAGAGCCATATCTTCCTCATTCCCATGGGATGATTTGACAGTTTCCTAGAATGTCTAGGTGAGCTCCTACCTGCAGTATGAAGTGTACTTCTACAGCACAAACTTAGATATCTCAGCTCAGTGAAGCTATACAGTCTGAGATATAAGGAGGGTTCTACTTCTCTTTAGTTGGCACATCAAGTAGGAATCTTCAGCTTTTGCTTTGTATGGTTATAGATGAATGCATAGATACATATGCACATTGATACATGCTCCTGACATGGCTTTGTCTATAGAATCCTGTAATGATGCCTATGTACATGTATACACCTATATGCTTGTATATGCTTATGTGCATACATGTGGACTTTGTCCAAAATCCCCCCCTTCCCAAAAAAGAGTTTTAGGTGGCAGCACATTGTTAGCTAGGAGTAGAATATTATGTGCAGATAGTTTTTTTCGATTCCTGTAAAAAAAAAATCAGTTTTGTACCTTTTAGAAACAAATACATACAGAAATACATGCGCACACACATGTATCCAAAGAGATCCAAAGAGATTACTCTATACATGTATGTTCCTGAGAATATACCAATGATCCTTAAGCGAGTAGAGCAAATTGGTGAGGATAGAGCAAACCTTTCTCCTAAGCTATGGTGCTTGGAGCTGCTGCTTCAGATGGAGCCAGATTAGACAGGCCCTCTGAATGGGTGTGAAAGGAGCTTTTCAGCGAGACTGAGAAAGAAACCCAGAGAAACCCACCCAAAGGCAAATATTATGGAAGTAAAAGCAAGGGGTGGGGTGTGATGAGGAAAAGAGTGCCTGTAGTCTCAAAAGTCTGGAACGGATCGTTCTGTCTCGGGGATTTATTGAACAAACTCATGCCTTGGTGCACTTGAATCTGTGTTGTAAGATTGTCTGTACCCCCCAGCAGTCCTCTTCAGTGCTACTACTTGGTCTGCTTGTGCTCTACTGATACCCTTTAGCAGTTCAGCTCCCTGCCTTCTCCTCCCTCCTGGGCAGATGCTGAGCACACCACACATTCCTGAAGTTCATCATCCAAATACATAACGCACAGGGTATTTTGATTCCTTCCCATTCTGATTTCCAATGTCATCTCCTATATACTTGTGTTTTTATTTAAGGAGAACTTGCAGAATGTGGGAAGGCTCTGGCTAGTTTGCAAACCTCTTGTGTTAAATGATATAAATGACCTTGCACAGTGAAATAATTTCTTTGTAGTGGATCTATTTCTGAGTTCTGGGTAGAGTCTAATTTTGTGACGATCACAATATTCTTGGTTTCTTGTTATTTTTGAAAGAATCATATTTAGAGAAGTGGGAAACTGTGGCACTGTAGATGTTTTTGATCTAAATCTCCAGCAGCCCTCGCTGTTAGTGAGGAATGATGGGAGCTGCAACCCAAAAACATCGCACCCCACCTCGGTCCTGAGGTGCTTTTCAAGACTCCTCATAGGGTATGTTTTCCATGAATGATAACAGCAGCAATAGGTACCGTGGATAGCTTTTTAAAAGTTCAGAGTGGATTCATTGCACTACCAACATAGGAAACAGCCCTTATCGCCTCTTTTCTGAGTATTTCACTTCTTCAAGATTTCCTAGTACCTTCACTTTCAGTGATATAGAAACTATGCTTCTGTTCATCTGTGGGGCATTCTGTTTAATCTCTACAGCCCCCCCCCCCATCCCATGCCAATAGGCTGCCCTGTTCATTTCAGAAACATACACCCAAGGATATTTGATCACAAACTCATAGTTTATTCGTGAAGTTTTGCTTTTGTACCACATACCAAAGAGTGCCATGTGTGATCAGTGCAAAGAACACCAGCACCTCCTGTTGTTAGGGCTTGGTTACTCTTGATGGAGGGCGCAGGGTGAGTCTGACAGGGCCTCTGAAGGATGGCTCAACTCAATCATGTCCGCTATGATATTTTCAAGATTCAAAGCAAGAGGGGGATGACCCACTCCTCCTCAAAAGAGACAGAAGGATGAGCATTTGGGTGTTTTCCAGGATGAAGATACATTCTTATTTAATTTACATGGTATCTATTATTTATTTTCTGTCTTCCAAAGTGCTCCGGACAACAAGGATCTTACTTAATGCACTTCATGCCATCTACATCAGCCCTTTGAGGTAGGTTAAACCAGAAGTTTGGCCAGAGGTAATCTGGGGTGGGGATATGAACGCAGGTTCATGATTGACAGCTTATTTGCACAAATGGCCACTTGAAAGATTCCCATGTGAGATTACTGATTCAGTGAAGAAGCAATCAAGGTAACAGAATGAATGTTATCTTTCTTGCCTCCTCCCTTGGATTCTGGTTGTGGGAGGATGGTGGCTAGTAGTGGCAGTGGCCAGCATTTTCTTTTCCATTGCAGATACAAGCACTTTGTGGACGACTTCCACTTTGCAAATAGTAACCTATTCAATAGTAACCCCAGGTTAATTTCTCTCTCGCTCATACACTTCTACACATAAGAGACTGAAAATAGAGCGGGAAATGGAATTGTGTTTTCAAAATCCTACAACTTGATTTTCTAGGAGATTCTGGGAGCTGTGGTCAAAAATAACTTTCCCAATCTTTGCCATGTACATGCATACAGATACACACATAAACAAACACACACAGATAACTATCCATGATTACACACAGACAAAACCATGAAATTATCCAGTGCTGCTGCATTATGTAGCTGACTATGATGCCAAGCCAATCTTTTCCAGAAAGTCAATAACTTATTGGTCAGTGAGATCTTCTCATAAAGTTGAATACAGTTGCAGAAGATTGACAAGTCTCCCTAGACTGAAGTTCTACCCAACAGTCCCAATGGCTTCAAGGATGGATCCAAGAAACTATTCTTCCTTGGTGATAGGGTGCATTGTAGCCTATAGGATAGCAGCACCTCTCGAACAGTGCGCCTGAAGGTCTTGCTAACAAAACAGTACAGAAAGAAGTTGAGGGAGGTGTTGAGCATGGCCACCATATTGGCCACATCTAGGGCCAGATGTACTCTCCAATCTTGATTGACTGAGGTGATGTAGAGGTGGTAGATAATGACAAATGTTCTTGGAGCCCAGAGGACAATGAAGACAGTGGTGATGGCCAAAAGAATTGCTGTGGTTTTGCTGAGACGTCGATTGGGCCTCCCTGAGTGCTTGAGTCTGCAAATGATCACTGAATTGGTAACCAGGAAGACACTACAAGGAATGAAGTAGATGATAAAGCAGTGGAGCCACTTCAGGACTTTGTTCATGGTGGTTGGTGGGTGGACATCATGCCAGACATCTAGCCACCAGTAGAAGGGAATTCCAGTAGCCAAAGACACTGCAAACGTGGCACCAATGATCTTCCGAGTGCGCTCTGGGTAGGAGACAGCTCTGTACTGCAGAGGGTGACAGAGGGCCACATAACGGTCCACGGTCAGCAATACAGTCACCCAGATGGAGGCATGGTTGGCTGTGAATTGCAGCACGTTGGCAGCATGGGTGAAGGTACCAGAGACCGCACGGCCCAAGACAGCTGCTTGGATGATGAAACCCGCAAAGACAACAAAGACTTGTGTCAGGATATCGGATGCTGTGAGGGCCAGGAGGTACCAGTAGGAGGATTTGTGAGTGCGAGCAGCAAGACGCGAGAGTGCAATGGCAGCCAAAATGTTAACTAGAGCAAGGAAGAGAGGAGCACATAGTCATTAAAATATGCAAATATGTTATTTGAATCTGAGGCAGAGAAAATTGTAAGTAAGTCATAATTAATATTTTGCATTTGCAAAGTTGAGTTTAGTTCCAGGTAGCTTTCCAGGGCAACTAGGTTGAGCCCCTACTTGCTCCCCCACTAATAGACAGATACATTTTATTCAGACCTTTGACACTACTGCTGGGTTGCATAAAAATACATTTCATTTAAGTGTCTGTAGCTTTTCTTTCCAACGCCTCGAAAATAGATTTAACATTTAGGATGTTTTAGCCTGTTTTGTAGTGTTTGCTTTTTACCTTTCCAGTCACCTTGGGTCCAGTTTTCTGAAAGTAATGAAGGATGAACTCACATAAAATCAATCCAACAAATAATAAATAAAATCTCATTTATGATCAAGACCCCTACACTCTTGGCTGTTGCCAGATTATGTACCCTCACCCCAGCTCTTCTTTCTGAAGCTGATCTGCTCCTCTTTTGCACTTTTTCTCAGAGCCATTTGCCAAATTTCACACCTGTCCTTCCTCATAGGTGCATAGAGTTGCACCTGCCAAACTGTCCAGCCAGAGGCACAGAGTTCTTCATGTCTTCATGAGTCCATGGCTCCCTCTAGTGCCCAGCACTGTAATTAATGCCTTAGATGCTATTGTGCCAGTCACAATCCTTCTTGGTATAATGAACCCTGGGTGAAATCTACAGTTCTGTTGTAGGAACCTTCTGTGCAAACCATAATATAATAGGGACTTTCCCTCCAAATCAGGACAATGTATCAACTTTTTTGTTCCTGGGTTCCATAGGATGGAACTATGGCAGTTTATTATAGTGCTATAATTGTGTTGTGTAAAAAGACCCTGGATTTTTGTATCCATGGTCTTATTTTAAAGCAGAAGCATAAAAAAAACCCCATCTGCTTCCATACTGCATATGGGATTGGAGGTGCAACTCCCATGAATGGAGTGTGGCATTGGTTCCTGGACTCCTGGACCTTCTCTGATTTAAGGAGAGACTACATTGCCAATTGTCAGGGATAATGTGGCTGCATTCTGCCTTTCAGATCCTGTCATCCCAGAAGCATCCGCGTTAAAATAACACAGATGTTTCTGAGCCAGCCAAGGCTTCAAATGGAGTGCGTGCTTTCTGGGGTGGGTTGTCCAGACGTTTCCTTGGGATTAGTCCGAGAGAACATCCAGAGGCCGTACTCCCCTCCCCCCAAGTCCCCAGACCCTTTAGAAAAGTAAAAAAACTTACCAGGCCTGCAGTATACCCTCAGAGTGCCTCTCCCAGCGCATACAAATGACCTGCCAGGAGGTTGGGGAGGGGAAGAGATTTTCCTCTCCCCCCCCCCCCGGCTCTCCTGGTGCGTCATTTGCAGTATACTCTCGGAGAGCTGTTCTGAGGATATACTGCAGGCCTAGTAAGTTTTTTTTACTTTTCAAAAGGGTCTGGGGGCTTGGGGGGAGGGGTAGGTATTCCCACAGTTTACCAGGATTATTTAGACTGATAAACTGTGGTGTATGGACTGTAGTCTGGGCTGTAGCCCAGACACCGGAAATAGTGCATTTGTCCCACACCTTCCAAGAAGGTGTGGTTTGTAGGGAATTAATTCGGGACTATCCAGAATGTTGTGTGGACAGGCCCTGTCTGGATGGGCCCGGAGTTGCAATGCAATATATCTGGAAGGCAGCTCAATTTCTACCTCTAGGGGCCCATAAATTGTGGGAATACTCACCCCTCCCCTCAAGCCACCAGACCCCTTAGAAAACTAATAAAATCCCCCCCCCCCCCCCCCCCCGCCCTGCTCTCCTGGCGCATCATTTTTACACGCTGGGAGAGCCAGCCAAGGCTTCAAATGGAGAGCACATACATTTTTATTAGTTTTGTAAGGAGTCTGGAGGCGTTGGGAGGAGGGAGATAGGGCCTCCACACGTTCTCTCAGGCTGGTCACGAGAGAACGTGTGGACACCCACCCCAGAAAGCATGCATTTTCTGGGGTGGGTGTGGACAGGCTCCCAGAATCATCCGCTTCTGGGATAAAGGCCTGTTTGGATCCAGCCTAGGTAAAATATAATAAACAGCGACTGGATGGTCTTCTGCTTTGAATGGATGTTTCTGCCTGGCAGGGGTTGGACTGAATGGTCCTTGTGGTCTCTTCCAACTCTATGATTCTATAAAAATGACCCTGTCATGAGATTTTGATCTTCCTTTCTGCTGTGTCCCACTCAGAGATTTCTTGTGACACAACAAAGGAGGCAGTGCTTACTTCTCTGCATTTCCTTACCTGGCAGACCAACAGCAAACAAGATACAATAATAGATGGGAGCCGCCATGTCAACGATGCAAATTGATCCTTCCTCCCCATCTGGGTCTTTGGCATTGTTTTTCCAGACTGGGTCACTCACATTCATCTTCTCCCAGTACCTTCCAGCTATGGGGATGGTTGCAAAGGAAAAGGAGAATCAGGAATTCAATATAATTACTTCCTATAATACTGTCAACACTGGACCTCTTGCATTAAATTTTCCCCTTCACTGAGCAAGAGCAGGATCAATATGGCAATTTCTGCAGCAGCTTCAGGCAATGGTTGATTACATTTTAGCCTCCCCCTCCACTCTAGCCTGTGTCACTCCGCTCTCCCTAGACAGCTCCTGCTCGCTCTCATCAATGGGTAAACACAATGTTTAGACAAAACGGAGTGCCATTTCTTTGCCAGAAGACTGTATTTTCCAAGGTGAAATTCCTGGTGGAAAAGCAGATTTCTATTTCTTGCTGCCCCCATGAGTCCTTACTAATGCCTGTTCCCATTTCCATCACGATACACAGTTATACTCTATAAGAACGATCTGTCAGCAAATGTTGCCCATTCTCAGAAAAGAACAGAGATCTCCACACACCATCTATGGGGGCCACCATTAGGCGGCATCATCAGTGAGTCAATGGGACAACAAGCCAGTGGTGGCTGATGACCTTCATGTTAGTTAAGTGACAAAGGCATTCTGGGGTCTAGCCCAACTTTACAGGCACCCTCCATTCTAATGGATCTATTTAGCCTCTTTAAATTTGGATCCACCATCCTGCTGGTATGGAAGAAGTCAACAATTACCACTGCTAAAGTTCCCAGTCAGGGCACAGGTACTAGCAAGTGATCACAGAATAAATACCAGTTGGAAATTTAGGGTGCATTTACACTCTAATACAGTTTGACACCACTTTAACTGTCCTGGCTCAATACTACCATAATCCCAGGATTTGTAATTTTGTGAGGCACCAGCTCTCTTTGGCAGAGAAGGCCAAAGAACTTGTAAAATACATCTTCCACTGAGCCAAAGTGTCAAAGTGAAGTTATTCTACAGTGTAGATGCACCCTTAACCAAGCCAGCGGGAAAGGAACCACCTAGATGGCACATATGGTTGAGAGATTGGGTATAATCTAATCTGGTGGTCTATGTCTCTTTCTGTCATACTGAGATGCCACCTACCTATTAGTAATGTTATATCAGAGCTCCATATCCATAGAGCCTGTATCCATGGATTCAACCATCCACTACTTGAAATTATTTTTAAAAATCTAAAAAAACAAACCTCAAATTTGCCATTTTACTACACCACTGTACATAATCAGATTTGAGCATCCACAGATTTTAGTATCCACGTGGATCCTGGAAACATCCCATGCACCTTCCAGCTCTATGATCTGAAATCATTACAAATATCAAATGAGTACTGCAGTTCCACATTGCAGTTACACATATAGGATTGCCCTTATAAAAGATCTTGAAGTCCTATTGTTTATACAATGTCAAAGTAAAAAGGGAACCCCTTATATAAAAGGACAAAATCAAGATTTGGGTTTTAGAAAAAAATGGGATCTTTTCAAGCCATGTATGGTTGAATCTATAAATATGGAGGGCAGATGATACATGTAAGAATACAACATTCAGATTGTCCAGCCTGCCAGCCTTGAACAGTTCTAGGTGCCCTGTTCACATTGTCAGACAGATTCTTACCAGTCTCCCAGTAGGCGAGTCTTGGTGGATTCTTACCTTGATGACTCTCACAGAAAAACCTGTTCTGTATTCCCAGATGTACTCTTTATTGATTCTCCTGGATCAGTTTGTGAAGGAGTGCATGTCTTCCTTCTCTGTGCACCAACTCTGCAAAGCCGGACTTGACAGCTGGAGGTGAGTGAGAATGGAAAAGAGGAGGCAGTAGTGTGAAGTGGGCTGTCTGAGCTGCTGAGCAGAGACCTGGAATCAGAGAGGAGGGGCGACAGGTATTGCGATACAGATATTGAGATATCTGAGATAAGGCAAGAAGTGTGAGTTGGCTGGCTCAGCACTGATGGAGAAACAGGCCATGGGGGGACTCTTGCCACTCATAAACCCACACTTCTGTTTGCATGACCCACATTGAAGAAAGGCAAAATGTTATTTAATTGGGAAACTGGCCTACAAAGAAGGGGCAAATGTAAATTGTGTTCCCTTCTCTAGTGTGTGAGAGGGCCAAGGGCTGTTATTATACTAGTTGCAAAGTTTCTGAAGGGAAATCCTCTCCATGCTATGCATAAAAACTAGCTAGTATTTCTGATTTTGTTTATGTTCAGACAAATAATCTGTTAGTGTCAATATTTTAACTCCTATTTTTGGCTGTTGGAGCCACTAAACAGCAAAGTTGGGTGAACTCATTTCCATTTGAACAATCAGCGAATGGTGACAGAGCCTGGCAAAATCCTTTTTTGGACCATGACACCTAGAATTCTGCAACCAGTACAGCCAGTAATGTAGCCAACTGAAGAGTGATGGTGATGGTGGAAGAGGTAGTTTCTTCCCAAAAGTGACTGTTTCAATCTCTATTCTGGGATGGACCATGACTGTTTGTCCTATGGCAACATCATCTTCGTTTAGGAGAAAACCTTTGCAACTGGTACTATTATAAAAAATTGACCCCATACCTGATTAAACACAAACAACCAGAGATGAATTAAATATTAATTTATGTTATTTTTCCTTTTCTCCAATTGCAATTTCAAAATGCTGCTCCATCTCAACTGCAGAAAAGTCTGGCCAACTGTAACTCCTCCAGCCAGTGATGTCAGGAGGATTCCCCAGACACCAGGAGCCCAGGTCGAAACCAGGCCAGAGAGGGTGAGGGTATTTTGAATGGCTGTCAAAGTGGATAAAATGCTCTGTACTTGTCCCATGTCTGCACTTGGGAGGATGGGATTACACTTCTGTCCTACTAGTAGTTTTCCAGCCCTCACTATCTAAATATCGGAACGTCTTGTTTGCTTTGACATGGGGTGAGTGCACAGCTGCCATATCAGCTCATCAAATCAGCACTGAGCACCTAGTGCTATTTATTTTGGGCAAGAATCTCTTAGCAAGATCCAGCTGATAGAGCTGCTATAAAGGGCAGATGTGTCTAGATCACTGGTTCTCAACCTGTGGGTCCCCAGGTGTTTTGGCCTACAACTCCCAGAAATCCTGTTTTTTTGGGCTCCAAGAACCTGAAGGAGCGGGATGGGTTCCTCACCCCCCCCCCCCCGTTTGCATCTCTGAAAGAAGCTCCTAGTGTGTGAAAATGATGTGTCAGGAGGTGAAGGGGGAGGGATTTCATTATTTTGATGTGACAGGGTAAATGGGTGGCCAGGGGCTGGCTCCATGGCTGGGGGCTGGMATTGAGCCCCCTCCCCCCAGAAAGCACAGGATTTGGGGTAGGTGTGGGACTGAGGCCATGTAGGTGGGCCCTTAGGCTGGACATACACTGCCCTATATCCCAGGATCTGATCCCAGATTATCTGCTTATCCCAGATTATCTGGCGGTGCAGACTCATACAGTCCAATTCAAAGCAGATAATCTGGGGTCAGAATCTGGGATATAGCACAGTGCAGAGCCAGCCTTATTATCCTGTCTTGAGCCTCTTCCACCTGAAAAGGCTATGGCTGACTAGGCGAGAAGAGTATAGATGGAAATGGGAAAACAGATGGGCTTTTGACTGGGAGGACTGAACCGTTTGCAAAATCCTAAAACTAGATTTTGAAGTGTAGCTCTTGGTCTTCTGAGCTCTGCCCTTGATGCAGTACTTTGGCTTAGCAGAAAACACTTAACTATTCAACATCTCCTTGGGTTTGTTTCCCGATGTGTGTGTGTATGTTGTCAGTTTATATCTAGAGTTAAAACAATAACAGTAACAAAAATGAAAGGCAGTGAAGGAAAAACCATTGCCTGTTATGCAATGTTCATTTAAAATAAACTGTCTGTATTCACTTTACAGTCTTCACACTTATACAGTATTAGCTTTTAACAATTTGACATTTACCAGAAAACACTCTGGCATGGTCTGGAATAACTGACACATTATTAAAATCATACTCACTGAGCTCTTTCTTTCTTTGGATGGGCCGTACTTCCTGTTCCAAACATTTTATTTTAACACACACTTGGAAGAATAATATGTATACTAAATTCCATTCTTCGTTGTTGCCCTTAGCTTACTCAAACCTGGACTCAACATGCATTTGCGTTCCATTTCTTAACATTTTTTGCATGCATTTATACCCATCTTAACTGTACCTAACCTGTTGAATGGTAGAGTCCTTTCTCACTACAGAATTATAGTGATATTATTCAACTTTACCTGCCATGATTCCACCCTATGGAATTCTGGGACCGATGGTTGACGTGGGGAAGGCTTAGAGTTTTCAGCCAGAGAGGTCTAGTGCCTCTCCAAATTACATTGAGCTCCTGGTGGTGCAATGGTTTAAACCCTTGTGTTGGCAGGACTGCTGATAGAAAGGTTGGCAGTTCAAATCCGGGGAATGGGGTGAGCTCCCGTCTGTCAGCTCCAGCTTCTCATACAGGGACATGAGAAAAACCTCCCACAGGATGGTAAAACATCCGGGTGTCCCCTGGGCAACGTCCTTGCAGATGGATAATTCTCTCACACCAGCAGTGACTTGCAGTTTCGCAAGTTGCTCCTGACATGGAAAAAAAATCCAAATCACAAAGCTCAAGACTCCATAGGATGCAGCCATAGCAGAGAAGTGGAACTATAGATGTGTCATGTGAATGGAGTTTGAAGAATGATTCAACATTTGCTCACATAATTATGTGCCACTGGGGGCAACAGAGGTAGGGATTACTAAATTAGGGTATTCTGCAATATTCCCTGTTTAGGTGATCTGCTGTATGGCTTCCTTTCTTCTAGATTAATATTTTCAACCTTGGTGTCTTTTACACCTGTTCCTCCCTCCCTCTTTTTCTGGTCTGTAACCAGAAGTGGTGTTCTGTCAGTTTTTTCTCCCGCTTTCCCAAATATGTATCTCTGGCCCCTTCTACATTGCCCTATATCCCAGGATCTAATCCCAGATTATCTGCTTAACCCAGATTATCTGGCAGTGTAGAGTCAT